ATTTCCTTTTTATTTACTATATATATAAACTAGGGCTCATTTAGTTACCTTAACAAACTAATTTCTATGGAGCTACAAAAATTACAGTGAGCACCTAATAATGTTAGGAATTTACTGTAAAAATTTCAGGGTCAAAGCTGTCCCTAATTCATCACAATAATTCCTACAAGTCCATGTTTTACCCATTTTAAGTGCTTCAATTTATTTAGTTTACTCTTGAAAATTGTATGAAACTAAGTGAACAAAATACATTAGCAGATAGGTCATGATTTTAGGAACCTAATAAAATTAGTTTCACAATTTCTGAACCTCTACATAAATTTATATTGAATTTATAAATCTACTCTAGAGACTAAATTGGAAATGGCTTACAAAACGAAAAGGGCTGGCGGCGGCTAATCCAGCCCAGCAACCCCACTGCGGCCCGCGCGGGCATGGGCGCGCACCAGCAGGTCGGCCCAGCAGGCCCGCTTCACGAGTGCACCTGCGCTTATTGCAAAAGAGCCCCTACGTTCTTAGCGAATCAATCAGTACAGCGAAGCACTATTACCCTAGACTCACACTTTGCACCAAACACCCCGCGAAGTGCTGTCTTCGCAACAGGACGGTCCACGACGACCCTGCGCACGCTGGCGCGGCTTCGGCCGGCACTGCGCCTCTACTCCGGCCAAATAAGCGAGGCACCGACCAAACTAACGGGCCGATGAGCATCGAGGAGCACAAACGGAACCCTAGGCGATGATTAGCAGTTAAACCGGTAGCCCTAACGCTCTGCTCATGCCGGCGGACCGACTACCACGGCGGCGCGCCTGTTCTGACGAGCCTAGGGGCTAATGATGCGGTAACGATTGCGAGGGAGTAGAAGTGGCTTACCACTAGGACAGCTGTGCAACTGGTTGAGGCGGGGAAAGCTGGAGGAACCCTGGCCACGTGCAAGCTGGCGAGACGGCGACGCTCTGGAACGAACACCAGCACGTCACCACGCTCCCGACGGTTATCCTGGCCAACAACGCGAGCACCGGATAGAGGGAGTCAAGATGAGCTTGGGGACACGAGCAATTGAGTCCTCGAGCCTTACTCCCATCACTACTGGCTTGGCGGCGCACCTTGCCGGCGGCGAGTATCATGCCAAATCGCCGGTCACCAGTGCACGAATGACCGTTAGGGGAACCGAATGCCTAGCCATCTCCCTAAGCTACTTGCTTGCGTGAGGAAACAAACTGGAAAGCCTTGAGCTGGGCAAATTGGAAGGGCGGAGAACAGTGTGCTGGCGCGCGGCCGTGGAGAGGGGGCACACGAGCCAGCCAGGCCAGTTAAGACGAGCGGCTCCAACTGAGGGTGGCGGTGCGTACGCGTGCGCCCAGATGACGGGACGTGGGACATGACGCGACGCGCGTGAATTGGAGCTGCCAAACCGAGCGAGAGCCACTGGCGTCGACTAGCGGGCAAGCAGGGCAGAGACGCATCCCCTCGTCACTGCGACCGGGGTCATCAACCATGTCGCGACGGCAGAGGGACATGCTCGGGGTTACGGCGAGGTAGGTGAAATGAGAGGCGGAGGAAGCGCCACGACGACCACGCAACGGTAGCCGCGGCCTCAGCTCGGCCCTTCGCGCGGCACAACGGTCGTCCTCCCCAGCGTGACGTAAGCGCGGCGGCGCGGGGCAGGCCATGTGTGGTGGCGGTGTGCGCGCAGCAGCACAGCACGGCGACGCATGAGAGCACGGCCGGGCGCAGCTAATAGCAGTGCACGGCACAGCAGCGGCAGCGCAGCGCGACGACAGGGCGAGCAGGGTAGCCCGCGAGTGCCAGAGCATGCGGTGACTGCGCACACCAGACCAAACGGCCGGAATTGTGCGTTGCACGAATATTAAAGCGCGCATAAATTCTAATCCAGCTTGGTTAAGACTAAACCATCTCGACAAGGCTCAAGAAGGTATATACGGCTACTAGTAGGAGCAACAAACTCAGACAAAGATGAACTAGAGAGGAAGATAGAGTCGTGCCAACTTGGGACTGCCAACCAGTGCCCAAGGTCAAGAACTAGCTGGCCAACAGCACGTTCTAGCTATTTAACAGCATTTAACTAGTGATCAAAACAAGCACTAACCAAACCAACCCTTATACCATCACAAAGCACTCATTAAGATGCAAACCACTGAGCAAAAACATGCCACTAGTGTTTAATTAGATTTTTCAGAACTTAATTGCCAAAATGACATTGACGTCACCATTCCGGACTTAGAAAATTCTAGGGTTAGGTTATAACTAACCGTCATTAACACTTTTGTCTTAACTTTTAAAAGGTCTGAACCTTGTTAATCTCAACCAACCAAAATCTCATGCAATAGTCCATACTTTATACTAACTCAGAGTGACAGAACATGTAAGCACCATTTAACTATTTTGCACAAGAAAATTCTCCGAAAATGACACTTTTTAATCGTAAGCTACGTTACACTTTGGTTTATAGAAATTGTTTTTCATGCCAAACAATTAAAACAACTTATGCTATTTTTCTTATTAGGATCTTATTAGTATGTTTTCACATAAAATAACTAACTTACCATATCCATTTGGTTTTGCTTAACCACAAACGTGAACCACACAAATTCTGTTTTATCATTCCATGTGAGTCTAAAATTTTAAAACCCGAGGACTTGGTTCGTTAATTTCTTTCAGACCTTAACCAAGGGGCTAAGCAAGCTCGTAACACCGGAGGTGTTACAATCAACCCCCCTTAAAAGAATCTCGTCCCAAGATTCAGAGCAGCATCAGAAAGGAGAAAATACGATTACATTTCGCAGATCTGAAATTACACGGAAGATTACACGACGTCGAACACTAAACCACACGGGGATTTAGGGGTACATGGTTAAGAGCAACCTAGTATAACCAAGGCTTAATCCAGAAGTCGACATAGACGAGGGCAATGGAGAAACAACAAGAAAATGATTATCCAAAACATGACGTATGTCCAACAGATCTAGAAACAGGAGACTGAGAACTCAAACATCGAAAACCCTAAGACCGAACTACCCAAAGATGAGCTTGAACTTCTTCGGCAAAAACCAGATCCGTTCTTCTTCTCAGATTACACAATCACGTCTGACTGATGACCCTAATTCCACGGATGACGACCGGATCTCGTAGCTCTGCTTAGGATTCGGGGGGATGGGGATGAAGGAGGAGAGCAATGGCATCTTATAATGGAGAACGGGGGGGGAGCGCAGTGCATCGGAAGCGTCGCTGGCCATGCGCGCGGCCGTGCTTCGCCGCGTCGTAGCCCCCACGCGCCATAGCGCGTACGTGCACCCATTGATCCTATGATGGTTTCCCTTTCTTCTTCCCTGCATAAGCACAGCAGAGCACGCGCTCGGCACTGCCGTTTCCGGCCAGGGAAAGAATGGCAGGCGACGATGTGGCGGCGTTGGAGTCTGGGCTCGAGCGGAGGTGGCTTGTGCTGCGTGCGCGGCCACGGGCGCCGCTGGCTGCGCCCGTGCGGTTTGGCGGCGGCGGCGGCTGGTGTGGATGGGTGCGACGACTGGATATGAAGGAGGATTTTTTGGGGCCACTGACTGGGTAGGGTTTTCGCTAAGCCTTTTGAGGTAGAAAGGGGATCTGATCATGGGCACCGCAAGATTCCCATTCTACTAGAGAAGATGGCGTACTTTTCGATTGACCGGAGATTTCTTCTGCGCTGCGTTTGGGTGGCAGGAACGGGAAAGAAACAGCAGTCAAGGGAAGAGGAGGGAACGACGGGGTAAAAAAAGATCTCTCTTTTGGCCAGGACTTACCAGAGGCTTCACAAAGCCTTTGGAACCGGACTCTATACAGGCCACGTTAAAACGCTCGAGGACCGTTCGTCTGGGATCGGACGGCTGAGGGAGAAGCAGGCGACGTGGCCCAATGGAATGCCCTGGTTTGGTGCATGAATCGTTGTTAGAGATCGTGCATTCCGTCAAAGTTCACGCGAAGAAATACACACTCTTTTCTTTTCTTTGCATATATATGCTCATATATCAACATGTTTTGGATCGAAATTTTGTTATGAGCTAGTAGCATTCCAAGTGTACAAATCTCTTCGTTTATTTGCAGAGATGGCGCATAAATCTCAAAGTCCGTCCGTCCGTCCGTTGCATCGACGCTCTGCGATTTTTCTGTCTTGCATTCCTAGAAGTCTAGAAGACTCGATCGTAGAACCTACCCCATGTTTAGTTCCCTAATTTTCTGAATTTGGCACTATGCAAAAAGAAGATTTCTCGTCACATCAAACTTACGGTACATGCATGGAGTACTAAATGTTGACGAAATCAAAAACTAATTGCACAGTTTGGTTGTACTTTGCGAGACGAACGTTTTGAGCCTAATTAGTCGACGATTGAACAATTATTACCAAATACAAACGAAACGCTACAATGCGCTACAGTGAATCTGGTTTTTAGGCGGCGCCAACTTCGGCCGGAACTAAACGCGCCATAATTTGACTGTCCGGTCTAGGGGGTAGGGGCTGGCTACGCTCATCACTCAATTAGAAAACAGGGACGAGTCTTCATCCAAGGAGGTAGGAAACGAGAGTAACGTGATTAATGTGATGTTCCGAGTGAGGTTTCAGATGCGGATTGAAGTTGTGTGTGCGGTGCAGAACACTGTATAAAAAAGGGAAAATAGTATAGTACTATACCGATCTCTTTTAATTTGAACAAATATTAGATACACCAACCTTTTGACGTACGTAGGAATCATAAACTTTTCAGTGGCATACTATCTCCCTCCCAGCCTCCCTCCCTCACAATATAGTGACATGGTTTACAAAAAGTAAACCGACTTTTATTCTAAGGGGACAGACAAAAACAAGTAAATTCCTGCCGTCCTGCGGCCCAATATACAAGTGGCCATATATACCAGCAGGCGGCATGAGCAGCATGCATGGCCGCCCTTGACGTATGTACGTGACCAGAGTCGTCGGCGCCCAGGCCGCGGCCTTTATTTTGGTCGTGTCATTGCCTCACTGCCCGGCGCCGCGAGCGCGGCCTTCGAAGCGACGGAGGAAGAACCAGGTGTGCGTCACGAAACCCAGATATGCCAAGAACACGAACGCCATGGAGCCCGCGGCACGCGGGCGTGGTGGTGGGCGAGTGCCAAGTTGCACGCCGCGACGCCGAAGCCCATCTTGAACAGCTCAGCGGCGCGACCCCCAAGGCATAGCTGGCGAACATGGCCGTGATAAGCAGCGTCGTGATGAGCGCCCACACCGCGGCCTTGATCTTGGCGTCCCTACCGCTGCCGCCCTCCTCCAACTTACGGAGGCGACGCTGCGGACGAAAGAGGAGAACGAAGCCACCCGCAGAGGTCGCAGCAGCCGCGGCCCACACGCCGACCGCGACGGGCCACGGCTTGACGCTGGCAAACTTCCACGCGAACATCACGCTGAGCAGCATGCAGAGCGCCCAGACCCTGCGCCTGAGCCGTTCCCTACCGACAGCCGCCTCCGGCGGCGCCAGCTCGTCGGCGCGAAGAAAGCGGAGCAGCAGCAGGAGAGCGCTGTAGCTGACGATCACGAACGCTACGAAGGCGACGTCCCCTGCCGCCGCCGCTCTGTAGGCGGCTGCGGCGCCGGTCACGGTGAGAAGGACGACTCCCGCGCGGCCGAGGCCGCCTGCGGCGTCCACGCCGGCGACTCTCTGATGTTCCATCCTGCGCTCCTGCCTGCTGCAACTGCAAGTAGTGCTAGCAGAGTAGTGATAGATGCTTGGAGGAAGTCGTGAGTTCGTGCTAAGACTTGCAGACCGGCCTTGCAGGCAGTTCAAGATTATCTTCTGCTCTCGGACTCCCTTTGAGGATTTCAAGGTACACACACGACTCTGTTTAAGTACGCACACGAGGGGAACACGCTAGCTTGCTTGCATTGGAATGGCAAGGAGCCTACAATAATTTATTTTGTTTTATTTAATTTTATTTTCTTCAACTCAGCTTGTAGTAATTTGGGGTTTAAGCGTTTATGCCCCTACTTTCATGTCAAATGGTGATTTTGCTCTTGTTTTTTTTACTTTGTGATTTTCCCCCTGCGTTTTCAAAACAAAGGGAGAGTTTGCCTCTATTATGTTAAGTTCTCTTAACGGTGTTAAGTTTTGGATAAAAGGATAATTTTATCCATGTGATTTTGCCCCTTTTCTTTTTTTTTCTTTCCTTTATTTTTACTTTTTCTTTTCGGTGGTCTTTTATTATTCTTTTTTGTTTCCTATATCTATTTTCATTTATTTTTTATTGTATGTTTTCCTTTTCTTTTTTCTTTCGTTCCATTCATTCATTTTCCTTGTATTTTTTATTTTCGTGGTCTTTTGTCATTCTTTTCATTTTTTATTATTTTACTATTTTTATTTACTCTATTAATTTTTATGTTTATTTCCTTTTTATTTTCATGTTTCCATATTTTTTTCTTTCTTTTCTTCTATTTACTTTTCTTTTCTATTTTATTTTCAGTTTATGTAGATTCTTTTCATTTTGTTTTCATATTCTGATTATTTTTTATTGTTTTAGTTATTTTTATGTTGGTATATGCCATGGTCAAGTAGTGTGTATGCATAATTTTATATTTTCCATTCCTTATTTTAATTAATATGGTGCATGTTTCAAATAATGGCTTATGCTATTACAGTACTTAAGAACGTATTCTATGACCTATTTTAGAAAGTGCAAAAAATAGAGTTAATGAAAGATACAATAAGCACAAGAGTTTCAACTTAACTTGAGGAGAGAGAAAAATTTGTAGCAGCCCATAAGAATATAATTTGAAAAGTCAAAATTTAAATTCATGACTTCATAAGATACATGATGCAACAAGATCCACCATGATTAATGATATGGTTTCAAAGTAATTGCATATCTAAAATATATATAGGTGCCAGGCAAAGAAAAAATGTTAGAAATTAAAAACATACAATTTAATATAAGTAATTCTTTATTAGTCAGATATACTCCATCCATTCTAAATTATAAGACGTTTTGAGTTTTGTAAATACATAGCTTTTGTTTTACACTTATATGTAAAAACAATATATCCAGAAAAATCAAAACGTCTTATAATTTAGAATAAAGGGATTATTAAATGGTAACTAATACTTGCATTATATAGTATTGAAATTCTAGTCCGTGCGAGAGCAAGGGGTGATAGACTAGTATAAGGAATTGATGTGATGTTAAAATCATCCTCCGACAGATTCCTTTCTCATCCTAATACACCGGGAGTTGGAGACGGCGAGCCTCGAATTGCACGCCAGTACGGTGGAGCCTATGATCGTATATCAGAATACTGCCGTTCCTTTTTGCAAAAATAAAATAAAATAAAATAAAAATACTGCCGTTCCATGCGACGCGCGTTGGATGGACCTCACGACCGATCGATCGAGCGAGAAGCGGGAACCCGGTAGCTGCTGAAACCTGGGACTAGACTTTCCGAACCGATACGGAGCGAGTAGCTTTCTTCTTCATCAACAGACTAAACACCAGCATCAGTTTCCTTAATGAACTGTTTGATTGATCGATAATGATATGTACGAATCGATGCCTTCATTTCGTAGCAGCTTTGACCAGCACCGTACCTTTGCCGACAGCCCAAACGCATGCACTTCATCAGTAATTACTAGAAAACAAACCAAAAATTAAATCGGCGTCGAAGTCGCAGTTAATCGGAGCCTTCATTCCGTAGCAGCTTCGTGTTTGGGCAAATACCATTGGGCTGAGATCTGCATTACAAGCTTATTACGGGTCACAGTGGGTATAATATATATATATATATATATATATATATATATATATATATATATATATATATATATATATATATATATATATATATATATATATATATATATATATATATATATATATATAATGCATGAAAGCTCAAAATCCTGACAACGCACGCTGCCGCCAGGCTCGCAAGCCTATGAGCAGTTCCATTCTACTCCTATATACGTACGAAAAGAAGGATAACAAGATGAAACAGAATAACAGATGACGTCGTCGTTTTCAGGGGACCAATGACTAGAGTACAAATCGGTACAACTTTAGAAAGGAATGGGGCTGTCACATAGGATTACAAATAAAATCGGTCAATCAGACAATCACAGCACACGCTCAATCAAGCTGAGAGCACAAGGATCGTCCCCCGGGCGTGGCAGGGCTCAGGCTCGCGGTTTTCGTCCTCATCGCCGGTCACCGTGACCCCCACCCACCGGCCACCGCCGCCTTCACCCTGGAACTCGAAGACGGGCCGGGAGATAGCCGCGCTAGCTGCTGCCCCTGGACCCTGGTTTTAGCGATCGATGGTGCCTTGGATTGGAGCTCGCCACGTAGCCGTGCAATCCAAGCTATTATTGGCATTATCCGGTACTCGGCAGAACACGGCAACAGCTAGTGTTCGTGTTGTTGCGCGCGGTGTGGAGAAAAACGAAGAAGTACGGTACCTGTTGAGGGTGAGAATCTCATCTGAAATAAACCTGACTGAACGGAACTAATCTTGTTAAGTAAAAAAACGCAGTAAACTAAAGATCGATCGGAGTGTTTGGCTCCACATTTATTCGAAACAAACATGCATGTCTCATGGAAATTACGTACCGATCAAGCACATAATTGCCCTGTTAGATAAGAAATTACTCAAGCATCAAAAGTTTGAACGCAAGACAAAGTTGTATTTATTTCATGATCGTATTGTACATGTCAGAGGGGGTATTTATAGGGCCCCAGCCTTCGTATCTTACATAAAATGACTATTTTACCCCTAACTTAAATATTTACGACCCTTTTCAACTATAAGGGTGAAGTGGTCATTTTACACTACTTCAGTCTTCATCTCTCTATTTGGCCATCATTCTTCTGGGAAATTCTGCCTTTTGTCTTAGTCGATTTCTGCTTTGCTTTTCTTTGTCTTCGTTAATCAGCGAAGCCAAATCTTTACCCGCGAAGTTAAACTTCCGTCTTCGTTTTGGTCTTGACTTCTTCTTTATCTTGATTTCTCCTTCTTCTTGGCAAACTCAAATCTTTTCATACGAAGTCGAAATGTTGTCTTCGCTTTCCTTTTTCCTGCAAACAGATTTCGTTACGGAATCTTAAGAATTTAGCTCCAAAGTTTGGGGCTGTGTTTTGTGACGAAGTTAAATTCCCAACAGCATCCCCTCGCGGACGAAGGCCTACTCCAAAGGTCTGAATTCCGCGAAGTTTGAATTTTAAAACGAAGACAGAAAACACCGTCCTGAACTTTGGAGTTGGCCGTTTATATCCGTTAGACTGTGTACCGTCAGTGTTTTTTTTGAATTGCAACGGTCGAATTTGACCGCCGGAATTTGAACCATTGGGTTTGACCCGAAGCCGCCTATATATACTGCGCTCCTTCCCCCTGTTTTTGTTGCTTCATCGAAGACGGGGAGGTGCTGCTGAATTTTTCTTTAAGCGAAGTCGAATTCTTGCGAAGCCAAGTTCTTTTGCGAAGACTGCTTTTTTCTTGAAAGCTTTTAAAGTTTGATTGGCTAAGGTTAGTTTTTACTTTACTTTGTTTATTTGCATTTAGTTTTCCCCTCCTTTTATTTTTCGTCTTTTGAGATATCTTTTTTGTAGATGTCTGAGCAGGAGAAGAATGTTTCTGAGAATTCTCCAGTTGGTTCTAATCAATCTGGATCTGGCGAAGATTTGTCAGATGTCTCCGCGTCAGAGTTAGAATTGGTTGGAGACGACACCAAGTCTTTGATTTTTGGTAAAACATTGATGGATGAAGCCGAGTTGGATGGGATGGTTACAAATAGGATGGTGGAAAAGGCTTCTGTTCGTTTGCCTAAAAATAAAACAACTCCTAAGCCAGAGCCTCATGAGTGTGTTGTTTTTCAGGATCAATTCTCTACTGGACTTCGCTTGCCTTGTCAGGATTTTGTTAAAGAAATTTTTAAGGCGTATAACATTGAGATGCATCATTCGACTCCGAATGGGATAGCTAAAATTGCTCTTTTTATCTGGGCTGTGAAATCTCAAAATGCGAACTTGGATATTGGAGCCTTTTGTACTTTTCATGAGATGCATACTCAGTTTAGGAACAAAACAGTGGATGGTAAGAATATTGTTAAGTACTTTGGTTGTTGTAGTTTTAAGCCTGCTCGTGGCACTAAGTAGACTGCACCAGCTTCCAAGAACAAATGAGTTGAAAATTGGTATCGATACTAGTCTTATCATTCTGTTCGTTTGGTTGAAGAGAAGGATGATTCAAGGAAGACTGTGAAGAAGTATTCTTTGGCCGCCAAGATGACCAAGAATATTTTTGACTGTAAGCCTGAATTTGCTAGTTCGAAGAATTCTAGAACTTGTGAAAAGGCTTATAAGTTGACTGCCAATCAGCAAAGTGCTCGTGATCTTTGCGAGGAATATATCGCAGCTCGTGTTTGGCCTCTTAAAAAAGGCTGGAGCTTTATACGTTTTCATAAGAAAGTTGTGAGATGAAAAGATTATTTGTATCCTGACAAAGAGGCTTTTCGTCCGAAGAAGTATTCGAAAGATGAAGATTTTTCTTCTGCTGTTGAAGTCATGGCAGTTGAAATTCTTGGCAAATTTTTGAAGGAGAAAGATTTGATGGACAAAATTCTGAGGAAGGATTATAAACGTTTGAATAGGGTTTTGAAATTGCTCAAATCACATATAATGAAAGGCCTCCACCAGCGTATTCTCGTATAGCGAAGCCAAGTATAGAGAATGTTACAAAGAAAAAAAGAGCTAGTGATCAACTTACTAGCTCGGCTACTTAGCCCAATCGATAAACTAGCAGGCTAAGCGCTCTATGAACCCGCACACAAAAATAATGATAACCTCAACTAAACAATATACATATTAAAAGTAAGCATAGCATGTAGATAGCAATTTGATGAATTTATAATAAGTCTTATGAGATGTGGAAGTGAAGATACAAGGCTTTGCCGAGCCGCCAAGACTAGATCCGGAACTTGAGCATAAGCCCAACTCGACCCTCACTTCCGAGCTACTAATCAACTACATTGGAGAGTCTAGACCTAATCCTCCTGGTGTATCTTGATCTATGAATGTGAGGTATGAATTAGGGTTTTAGGGATGGCTCCAGGGAGCGGGGTACGGCTGCTATATATAGGCCGAAGCATCAATTCTGGACCCTCGGATCAAACCGACTGGAAAGAACGACGTAGATGCAATCTAGGAGGCGGTGGAGAACCGACATTTGAAGGAGGGGCTGACAGGTGGGCCCAGGGGGCCAGGCGGCCTGCAGGTGGGGCCGGCCGGCCCCACATGGCAGCCACCTACCCTCTGCTTCGGTGGTTTACCTTCTGGAGTCTTTTAGAGTCTTCCCACGTTGGTTTCGCTGCGGATAAACATGATTTGCTTTAACGAATTGGCCCTCATTGACGGTTTTCTGAGTAAATCCTCCTATAAACGCAGATTCACCAAAACTTGTGGAATTTATTAATTTAAACCCCTAGACCTATGTTGGTGATCCTTTTTATGCATTTATATAAGTTATATTGACGATTTATGATGAAAGTTAACTACCGTCAACAAGCTCCCCCACACTTAACCTTTGCTATTCCCTGAGCAAATCCAAACTCAGCAATGGATCAGGAGTTACTACGATGCTTTCACTCCTCAAAAGTACACATGCGTTCAAACAAGAATTCTTCTTCGGATTAGAATAAACCAATCGGACTTTCAAACTTACCCATATTACCTTCAACCATGGGGCTTCTTAGCCTTCACTTAGGTCTTGAGTAATTGAAAGATAGAACAATCAAGTCAAGCACTATGTCTTAAGGTCTTTGTTCCACCATTGTTCCAGAGTTTTTATAAGTTTTTAAAATAAAACTCAGACATTGCATTGTATGACACTCTCAAGTCTCTCAAAATATGTGGTATTTGTGGATCCTCACCAAGGCAATAAAGATGTTATGCCTTTTCTCTTCCTACCACTAAGGCATATGTGGAGTTCATAGGTAGGGAGAAAGCTAGAGCACACTTGCAATATGTTGACACAAAAATATGGCGATGTGATCAACACACAGCAAGCCAGAAGATCTGAGTGGAACGAGACCAGAGATCTGCTTGGCTTCAACATAAAACCAACCGATTCTGAAAACCCAACGACGTGCCAGTCAATTTAACCTGCAATTGACAAGGAGAGAAAATCTTATCAGTAATTTAAGGTAGAACATGTCGGTGTTGCCCCAGATAGTTCCAAATGTATGGCTAGATAGCCGATTCAATAAGGCTATCGACTAAATAGTTGATATCCAGCGTATCCATGAAATGAAGATATTTAAATCAAGGATTATCGGCTAATATTAAATGATAATGATATGAATCAAAATAACCGATGCTCATGGATCATAGCAGATTTATGGTGACTGATTAATCTAGACAAAAATAAGTACAACACAGCCAAATAAAAAAATTAGAAGATCTTTCCTTAAAATTTCAATATATATGACCAAATGGCCGATTGATGTTATCAATCGATTATAGAGTTGACAATCAGCAAAGAAGCGATATGAGAAAAACATCATCGGCTAAATAGAACACAATCAGTATAAAGTGCGAGCCGATAAATTTGATGAAAAGAGTATGACATGCGAACAATCAACTGTCTAATATAAATGAATCCATAAACAATCTAGATCTAATCTCTTATCATCAACAGTGAGGTTCGACCGGATCGATGCAACTATGATAATGATAACAAACTAAAGCCAAAAAATCTATAAAACCATCTATATGTCGATAGATTGGTGAAAACATGCTATATGCGTGAAGGTATGGGCAATCGGCTAAATAGCCGATGCAGGCATAGCAAACAAATAGAGTACATATCTCAATCATGAACAAAACCACTAATCAATAATTTCTAATATAAAGTCTAACCAGTAAGGTTCGATCGGATCGATGCAGCTATAGTAGTGTCATTAAATTAGATCTCATTAACTAGTGAGTTCATTCAAGATTGAAACGTGTCTTTGAATGCATACTATGTTCGATTGAAATAGAGATAAAACAACCAATCAAGCCGGATTAAGCCATCAATCATAAGATTTAAAGTGTGACCAGATTGGGAGATGACCAATTAAGATAATATGATGCCGATCTATCTCTATCTCAATCAGATGATTTGTTATAATTAGTAAGACATTAATTATAACACGATCGATAACTGGTGAATCAACCAAAAACAGCAAGAAAAATCTTACTAATCTTAGCATGTTCGATAACTGGTGATATTGTATTAAATAACAAGTTATTTAACATAAAATTGATAGCTTTGATCTATATTATGATTCGTAAGAGACCAATCAGCTGATGCAGCCTTACAAACAATAGTATGGATCGATAACTAACTTATATTATAGCTCGTAAAAGATCAATCAGTTGATACAGCTTTACAAACACAATACAACTTGTGACGGTACTTACAAGCAAGCTGTAGGTCGATCAGTCGATGTAGCCCTGTTTGTTGAAGAACTCGCCGAGATCTACAGTACTCCTACTCCTAATGCAATGGCGAAAGCCAGAAAGATTGTATTGATTGAGTGTTCGTCTCTTTGTACAATAACTGGGGTCTAATATTTATACCTAGAACCTAAATATGAATCATACTCAAATACGACTCATTACAATTCTTGGAATAAAAGAAAACTTCCTAACTTAACAATAACTTGGACCCTAATTTTCTTTATTTGTAGAGTTTGACACATCTTCCTGACGCCATTCAAGCATAGCCCATGGACGCCGTCTGCTGACGTCATCTATAAAATAGCCGATTCCGATATCGCATCCAAATCAGCTGATACCGATTCACATTTAATCGATTCCTTGATGACACAATCTTGGAAGCTTCGAGTTCCTGCGTTCTTCTTTCCAAGTTTTGGTGTAAACACATGCCCCCCAATTTTGGGATAAAAATAATTTTATTCCAAAATTTCTATTTATCTGTTCACCGTGTTGCAACTGCTCATTCCGAAGTATACGCGTGGCTCTTGATTTTTAGGGCCGAATTCTATATAATACCCCAATAGTATCATTTCCAACTTGCTCGGTCTGCTTACTTTCCCCTTCTTTCTTGAACAAGCTTCAACAGTCTAAGCCGCCACCACCAAAGCCTTAACCCTAGCAGATCTTCTACTCTGCCAAGCTGCTGTTCAAGCCACCTTTCTACACCTTTCTCAGATTCAGATCCATTTCAGCTGCAATGGCGATCAGCGACCACGTTCCTGAGGTATGCCTTCAGATTTCTGTCTTTCAAGTATTAGCCGCTACTCTCTATTTTTCTTTCTTCTCAAATTCATCCCATCTGGTTTCTAGGAAATGAGGAACGAAATTTTGATCCCATCAGCTGTTGTCCCTAATGTCTACTATCTTGGACCTATAGGCGATCCTGATCCATCTGATTTTATCAACCAAGAAACCAACCGAATCCCCTTCAAACAATCTGTAATAGATTTATTTTCCTAGAACACCAAAACACCTTTTAGAAACTGGCCCAAAATGCCTAAAGGATAGAGAGATTGGTTCCGCATGGTATCAGAAAAGAAAGCTGGAGATTGGAAAATTTCTGATTTAAACCAATACTTGACACTCTCACTGTCTGCAATATAGAGAAATGATTCACTTCTGATCTCCGCATCTTATTTTTGGTCCAACACTTTGAATGCTTTCATTTTTGGTCACGGTCCAATGACCATTACTTTGGTCGACATCTACATGTTAACCGGCCTTAGAATAATAGGATCAATGCAACCCTATGATTTCTTAAGTGCTGGATCCAAGAAATTAGCCAAAATATCGGATTGCACTGGATGGGCAAGTTATATTTTGAATCATATTGGGGATGGATCGACTGTTGATGATAGAGAACATGTAGCTTTTTTGAATATGTGGCTAGAAAAATTCATCTTTTGTGGGTCGTCCTGTGGTCCAACCTATAATCATAAATACTTGGCAGAGCGTCTAACAGCCGGCAATGAAATCTCCCTTGGAAAATATCTACTGGGATCTGCTTATCATCTGATGCACCAAGTAACTGTCCAATTACTAAAAATGAACCAGTGCATACCATCAGTGGCCCTTGGTGGTTAATACAACTATGGCTGAATCTGTATATGCATAAGATTGTAAGATCCGATCTCAGGAATTTGAGTTTCCCTTCTTCCAACTTTACTGAAGATTATAAAAGAAAAGAAGGAAGAACTCGACAGTGCATGAATTATGGTGAAGCTACATCAACCATAACAATTGCTGTCGATGTAGGCCACCTTTTCAAAAAATTTTACAGAGGGTTTGATGCAAACATCTTGACTTGACTGCCTTATGATGAAGATGAAGATAATGAGCTAGTTCTGCAAGTTAAATTCTAGTTTGAATCAGGTTGTTCAGATGAAACAACTGCTGCAATTTTCAGTTGCATTATTAAACCCTGTATACTGCCAACCGAA